ATTTTTTTTCCTTTTTTTTCCTTTTATTTTCTTTTAAAGTCCTCTATTACTCCTTAATTTTCATTTTCATTTCACTATAACCTTGCAAAAAAAAAAAAAGACCTTATTTTTAAAGCAAACTTCATATATATTTCTTAAAGTTTTTGTGTTTTTGTTTTGGAGGTCTTAAGCAGAAACTTAAAAATGCAAAATGATTGCTCAAGAGTTTATACCAGAAATTCTAACCAGAAATTCTATTTATAGGTATGACCTGGACTTATTTCATGACCAGTGTACATATCATCTGCAATCAAATAGTTCTCTCCCTAGATTTGTGTATTTCAAGGTGATTTTGGCTCTGAGACCTTCACATGGTTACCTATTTCAGTAAAAGGAAACAGACAGAAACATAGAGTGTGGGGGACTTTCCTGGTGGTCCAGTGGCTGGGACTCAGCACTTCCAATGCAGGGGGCCCGGGTTCCACCCCTGGTCAGGGAACTAAGATCCCACACGCCACAGGGCCGTTAAGCCATATGCCACTTGGAAATTCTGCATGCCACAGCTAAGACCTGGCATAGCCAAATAAATAAAAATAAAATATTTTTTAAAAAGAAAGAAAAATAAGATGTTTCTAAATGTCTGGGCATCTCAGGATTACATAGAATGCCAAAAGTAACCTGCTAAACTTGGAATTTTTTGGACATAGTGACTCTATTCAGTGTTCTGAGTTTATGGCTAAGAGATATACATATGCCCATGACTGTTTTGTCCACATTGATTCCTTTGATTTACACTCCAATTTCATGTAAGGAAGCACTGAGATGAGTAAAGTGGGAAAACATACTCTGTTTATGTGGTTGTGGTCAATGAAAAGAGAGACCTTTAACCACAGTCTGGTACTTAACTTTTTACCTGCTGCTGATAAAAAGAAAAAAACAACTCTAAAAACTTTAGCTACTTAAGTAGTAATATAAAAACCAGTAGTTTCTTATTATGGTCAAATCACACTTCACCTGGATACATTTCAAAGTCTAATCTGAGTTTTTCCATGCAAATTTCATGTATCCTAAGGAGGTGGGGAAATCTTATTATATTACCGGAAATTGAAAAATTGTATGGCAAAGAGTCTTTTGAACAACAATTTGTTTTATGAAATTCCTGATAAAATGATTTTGAAGTTTTAAAAGTAACCACTTCCCTTCTTATCCTAATGTCATTCCTTCAAAGCTGCTTATTGTTTAGAAATGATGTCACATCTCCCACTTTGACTATTTTCAGTGGCATAGCTGTGCATTTGCCATGTGATAATCCTGACTTTTAACTGTTATATGATTTTATATTATGTTGCTTTATATGGTTCAAAAACTGTGTGACACATTGAGATAAATAATCCTATTGTGAAACTCACTGTGTACTACAAAGAAAAATAATTATTTCATGAGTTAGAATCTATCCATATATATTTCAATGTGATTGTTTCTATATCTGGAAAACAAGACTGAAAAAAATATGTAATCATATCTTTCTGTTGAAACCGTGAATGTGCTAATTTTTTTCTTAATCTTTGTTTAGAAGTAACATGAGTGGCCATTGTACAGCTGATCTGGGGTGAGTGTTTAAGGTACAATCCAACAATTGTTTAAAAGTCAAGTCAGCCCCTCGACTTTGCTACATGTGACCTTTGATACTTCTGGGGCGTTTTTTACATAATGAGGCTTGCTTTCCTGCTTGATAAGTCATTTCAAACAATTTTCATGTCTCATGCAGAAACCAAAGTAACCTAGAACTGGCTGTTAGGGATCTGTGTCTTCTGTAAAGCCATATTGAAGTGAAGGCTACGGGATAGCCAAAGGTTCCATATTTTCAAAGCTACCACTACCTCTGCTTTTTCTCTATTCCCAAAAAATGCCAAACAAAATTCTTCAACATCGCATAGGAAATTAGAAGTGATTGTTACAAGTTGCTGGGGTCTTGTTTTGTTTTTTACATGAAGATAAGTTCAGTTCAGTTCAGTCACTCAGTCGTCTCCGACTCTTTGCGACTCCATGAATCACAAGGCCTCCCTGTCCATCACCAACTCCTGGAGTTTACCCAAACTCATGTCCATCGAGTCGGTGATGCCATCCAGCCATCTCATCCTCATGTCGTCCCCTTCTCCTCCTGCCCCCAATCCCTCCCAGCATCAGGGTCTTTTCCAATGAGTCAACTCTTTGCGTGAGTATTGGAGTTTCAGCTTCAGCATCAGTCCTTCCAATGAACACCCAGGACTGATCTCCTTTAGGATGGACTGGTTGGATCTCCTTGCAGTGCAAGGGAGTAAGCATCTTTTAATTTCATGGCTACAATCACCATCTGCAGTGATTCTGGAGCCCAAAAAATAAAGTCTGAAACTGTTTCCAGTTTCCCCATCTATTTCCCATGAAGTGATGGGACCAGATGCCATGATCTTAGTTTTCTGAATGTTGAGCTTTAAGCCAACTTTTTCATTCTCCTCTTTCACTTTTATCAAGAGGCTTTTTAGTTCCTCTTCACTTTCTGCCATAAGGGTGGTGTCATCTGCATATCTGAGGTGATTGATATTTCTCCCGGCAATCTTGATTCCAGCTTGTGTTTCTTCCAGCCCAGCGTTTCTCATGACATACTCTGAATAGAAGTTAAATAAGCAGGGTGACAATATACAGCCTTGATGTACTCCTTTTCCTATTTGGAACTAGTCTGTTGTTCCATGTCCAGTTCTAACTGTTGCTTCCTGACCTGCATATAGGTTTCTCAAGAGGCAGGTCAGGTGGTCTGGTATTCCCATCTCTTGAAGAATTTTCCACAGTTTATTGTGATCCACACAGTGAAAGGCTTTGGCATAATCAATAAAGCAGAAATAGATGTTTTTCTGGAACTCTCTTGCTTTTTCAATGATCCATCAGATGTTGGCAATTTGATCTCTGGTTCCTCTGCCTTTTCTAAAACTAGTTTGAACATCTGGAAGTTCAGGGTTCACATATTGCTGAAGCCTGGCTTGGAGAATTTTGAGCATTACTTTAATGGCGTGTGAGATGAGTGCAATTGTGCAGTAGTTTGAGCATTCCTTGGCATTAAACTGATCTTTTCCAGTCATGTGGCCACTCCTGAGTTTTCCAAATTTGCTGGCATATTGAGTACAGCACTTTCACAGCATCATCTTTCAGGGTTTGAAATAGCTCAACTGGAATTCCATCACCTCCACTAGCTTTGTTCGTAGTGATGCTTTCTAAGGCCCACTTGACTTCACATTCCAGGATGTCTGGCTCTAGGTGAGTGATCACACCATCGTGATTATCTGGGTCATGAAGATCTTTCTTGTACAATTCTACTCCTAAATTCATCAGTTTGTAAGTTTATGCTAGGTTTTCTCAATAACCATTTTTACATTTTATAAAAACTGACTGATGAATAAGGGCCAGAAAGAATACATAGTAAGTCACCAGGTGAAAAGCCAGCAAAATTATAGATGCAGATTTTTCCCTAACCAGGAGTCACCGCAACGTGGTTACTCAAAGCCATGAGGGGGACATTCTCACAATCTGACTTCCCTAAAGCCCCTAGAAATAAATTTTTTCCTTATTTGATTTTAACCATCAAAGATACTGTGGTATGGGAAAAATCAGGCATATATCAGAAATAACCTTGTTTTGATTTTTTTATCTACATGAACTAATTACAATGTCTATTTTTTTTAGTCTTAAAAAATTATAGAAGACTGTAGTCATTTGATGTATCTTGCATCTTTAGTTCTGTAAATCTTTAGTTATTGCACATTGTGCTTTCTGTGGCCCATGGATTTATTAATTTGTCTCCTTCCATTTTGAGAGGACACCATGGATAGCTAAATCCATATCAAGAGTATGGGAGATGCTACTAACTGCTATTACCAGAACATCTTCATTTTTTACTCCACTCCACAAATGATGCTTGCCAAACAAAATCATCCCAGTATAACATTATCATTATATTTCTACTCATGTTATTGAAAATACCCAGTTCAGTGCCTGGCTCAATAAATGTTTATTCTCCTTGCTTCCCCTTCCTCTATTTATTTTTATTTGATATATAAATGAAAAAAATAACACATGCCTGGCTGAAACAATTTTCTTGATGGATTTTTGCTGCAAAAGAATCTGTAATCCAGAAACTATTTATATAAATTAGACCAAAACAATTTTCCTCCTTTCTCTTTACCCTTCTGTGTGATTGCAAAGTATAATTTCCCTCCTAACCCCATCCCTCACACAAGAAGCTGCTAAAAATAAAAATAAAATGAGATGGAACCAAGAACCCAGGGATAGATCAGAAAAGCTCATTTAAGTATTATAAAATAAAGGAAAAATCAAGCCATTTGAAAAATGGAATGCTTTTGAACAGTATGATTCATCAATATTACTAACAACATCTCTTCTGACCAAATGCATTGGATTGAGTGTAAAATGCCAATCTTTTAATGGATCTAGATCTAGAAATCTTTACCTACTGCTTATGCTTGTGTTGCAGAATTATGGGATGGTGTGGGGTTTGCTTTACAAATTCTTCTCTGACTCCTAAATTCTCTAATGCCATGTCTTACCAGGGAATAAGATATTTCTTACATGAGTATCATTCCCTAAAACTTGGCTTCGGTCAAAGACTGACTCCCCTATGCTTACATTGGTGCCATCTGCCTTTAATTATTGGACACACGTTTACTTTGAAGCTGGAAAAATTGGAGTGTCAGTCACCAGACATAGCGTTCATATAATAATGATGAGTTGGAGAAGTACTGTGTAGCTAATTTTCCAAAATGACATGCTTTCCTAAAAGGAAACAGAAATTATATGTTGCCACATCTTTCCAGAACCATATCTGAAACCTTAACCCCACCAAACTCTACAACTGACTAATCAACTTTCACACATTCTAAATCTCCCCTATTTTGAGGGACTGTGAGATATAATACCTATTTAGCAGGAATCTTGATGTCTTGGAGTTGGAAGATAGGGCAGGACTATAGGAAATGTGGGCTTCCCTGGTAGCTCAGCTGGTAAAGAATCTTTGTCTGCAATGCAGGAAACCCCGGTTCAATTCCTGGGTCAGGAAGATCCCCTGGAGAAGGGATAGGCTACCCACTCTAGTATTCTTGGGCTTCCCTGGTAACTCAGACAATAAACAATCCGCCTGCAATACGGGAGACCCGGGTTCAACCCCTCGGTTGGAAAGATCCCCTGAAGGAGGGCATGGCAATCCACTCCAGTATTCTGGCCTGGAGAATCCCCACAGACAGAGGAGCTCGGCAGGCTACAGTCCATGGGGTCGCAAAGAGTCGGACATGACTGAACAACTAAGCACAGCACAGCACATAGGAGATGGGGTTATTGAAAAACCTCCAACAGGACCTTACCCGTTAGGGAAGCAGATTCTCACAGTTTTATCCTTCTGAAGAGTACAGATGAGATTAAACCCATTCTTGATATTGTAAAGCATAGTCTACTTTGGAGGTCTTGACACTTAAATTGGAATTTTTTTGCCCATAACCTCACCTACTCCTGCTGCCTATACAAGTGTTAAGCAATTTTGTCTTATGATCAGGTTCACACTAAAACTTATACTTACCAATGAACTTGAAACACAGGTACTTTTATGAATGTGATAAAATATTTTTTAAGTATATCTAGAGGATGTTAGTCAAATACCACTTAGGTTGTCAGTTGGGGGAACACTGGTATAAGCTAAGGGAGCTCAGGAATTTTTATTACTGTATTTATAAATGTGTTTGAAAGAATTTGTAAATGTCACAGGTACATTTTTAAGGTGATACACATTTGCTCCATAAATTATTAAAAATTATGAAATGAGTTTCAATGACATTTGGCAGTAGTTTTGCTTCAAGTGATCAATATTGATATTGTTACTGAACTATGTAATCTCATGATACATTTTTCAATACTTTTTCAGAGCAACTGCTTTTGCAATGGTAGCAATGCTTAATTTAAATTGAATCAATAAATTTCTTCCTAAGCAATGATTTTTGGAGGGTCTTTTACTATGTATGTGAAACATATTTAATGAATAATGTAAGTTTGGGAGGTTTTTTCTTTGTTTCAAAAAAACTTTATTAAGGCATTTTTTTTTTCATTTATTTTTATTAGTTGGAGGCTAATTACTTTACATCATTGTAGTGGTTTTTGTCATACATTGAAATGAATTAGCCATGGATTTACATGTATTCCCCATCCCGGTCCCCCCTCCCACCTCCCTCTCCACCCGATCCCTCTGGGTCTTCCCAGTGCACCAGGCCAGAGCACTTGTCTCATGCACCCAACCTGGGCTGGTGATCTGTTTCACTCTAGATAATATACGTGTTTCGATGCTGTTCTCTTGAAACATCCCACCCTCACCTTCTCCCAGAGTCCACAAGTCTGTTCTATACATCGGAGTCTCTTTTTCTGTTTTGCATATAGGGTTATCGTTACCATCTTTCTAAATTCCATATATATGTGTTAGTATACTGTAATGGTCTTTATCTTTCTGGCTTACTTCGCTCTGTATAATGGGCTCCAGTTTCATCCATCTCATTAGAACTGATTCAAATGAATTCTTTTTAATGGCTGAGTAATATTACATGGTGTATATGTACTACAGCTTCCTCATCCATTCGTCTGCTGATGGGCATCTAGGTTGCTTCCATGTCCTGGCTATTATAAACAGTGCTGCGATGAACATTGGGGTGCACGTGTCTCTTTCAGATCTGGTTTCCTCGGTGTGTATGCCCAGAAGTGGGATTGCTGGGTCATATGGCAGTTCTATTTCCAGCTTTTTAAGAAATCTCCACACTGTTTTCCATAGTGGCTGTACTAATTTGCATTCCCACCAACAGTGTAAGAGGGTTCCCTTTTCTCCACACCCTCTCCAGCATTTATTGCTTGTAGACTTTTGGATAGCAGCCATTCTGACTGGTGTGTAATGGTACCTCATTGTGGTTTTGATTTGCATTTCTCTGATAATGAGTGATGTTGAGCATCTTTTCATGTGTTTGTTAGCCATCTGTAAAGACATATTTTTTAAAACAAGGAAAAGTAACGGCAATCTAAGCCTCTCTGGAAATAAAAAACGCAGACCCATGGTAAAATATTTGGCTTAGAACACTCATCCAAGGCTTTTTTTCCAGGCATGCATTCTTGAGCTCCTCTTTCAACATACTCCCTGATTTTACTTTCCTATTAATTTTAAATCAAAACTGACATCTTGCTTCCAACCCAGCTAAATTCTACATCTTCTCTTTCCACTGCCCTCAAGTTCCCCCAGTCTTTAGCCATTTGCCAGACTCAAGCTTTATTTTAAAAATGCAAACGTGTTTGGAAGCACTCAGAAATTCCTTGGGCCTTCTGGGAACAACCGAGACCAATGAAGAGGAAGGGTTCCAAATCTAATAAACCAGCTCTCCCAAGTGAGGCTTAAGCCACAAATCTCAATGCCAGTGATACACATTTTCTTTTGTTTGCTTCTTTCTATCCCATGTCTTCACTTAAAACTCCAGCTGCGATTGACTCTTCCATTTATAATCTTTTCTCTTCTGCACCAAATATGCCATACACATGAAAATTATAGAGGATGATATAACAAAGATCTCCACTTACCAACACCCAAATTTCACAAATATTACTTCACTCTGTATAATGGGCTCCAGTTTACCTAGTTTTATGCAGCCTTTTTACTCAGTAAATTAATTCCTACACCTCCCTATCTCCTTCAAAATTATTCTGGCAATTCTGGGACATTTATTTATCATATGAATTTTAAGCCTATCAACTTTCCAAAACACTTCCATTAGGAATTGAATTATTGTTAATAAAATTTAGGTATTCTTGGAGAAGTCACATCTTTACAACACTGTGTCTTCTTAATCATGATCATGGTATATCACTTCATTTACTTTTGTATTTAATAAAGCTTTACACTATTCTTCATTAACATCTACATGTGTTTTACTATATTCATTCCTAGGCACCATAATACTTTTGTTGCTTTTGTAAATGGTATCTTTCTAAAACTAATCTTATTCTAAGTGTTTATTGCTTATATATAGAAACCACTGAATTTTTATATTGATCCTATATCCTGAAAACTTATTGAACTCCAAGTATTAATTCTTTCAATTTATAGGTTTTCTTGGATTTTCCATGTTTACAACTATATCATCAGAATGTAACAACTGTGTTTTCTTCTTTCCTGATCCTTAAAAATTGTATTTCTTTTTCCTAACCTGTTTATTGGGGTTGGATTCCCAGTACAGAAATGAATAGAAAGAGAAGAGTGGACATTCCTTCTTGATTCAGACATTAAAGAAAGTGCTACTAAAAGTTCACCAATTCCTGCCCATTTTTGCAGATATTCTTGGCGATGTTAAGGAAACTCCTCTCTATTCCTTGTTTGCTAATAATATTTTTTTATTTTAAATTGCTGCTGAAGGCTCTCAGATTTTTTTCTACATAAGGCTTCCATGGTGGAAGCTTTAGCTGGTAAAGAATCCTCCTGCAATGCAGGAGACCTGGGTTCAATCCCTGGGTTGGGAAGATCCCTTGGAGGAGGGGATGGCTACCCACTCCAGTATTCTGGCCTGGAGAATTCCATTAATTATATGGGGTCTCAAAGAGTTGGACACAACTGAGCGACTTTCACTTCACGTTATTTCATTGATATAACTGTCTTTTCTCTGTTAGTTAATATGCAAATTATTTTAGAGAATTTATTTAGAGAAAACACTTCAGTGTTAAATTACCCTCACATTCTTGGAATGAATTCTACTTGGTCATGATGCATTTTTTGCAAACTTTGCTGCCTCAGTTTGCTAACATTTTATTTAAGAATTTTGCATTTATGAGAGTCATCTTCTGTGCTGCTTAAGATATAATTTTCTGAGGTATTTAGTAAATAAGTTAAAATCTTGTAGGATTATGAAAATTCTTCTTTCCCCTTGTAATTCTGTCATTTTTTGCTTTATATATTTGGAGGCCATGTTATTAGGTATATATACATTCAGATATTCAGTCTTCCTAACAAATTATACCTTTCATCCTCATCTTAACACTCCCTCAATTAAGTGGTCTGTCAGCCATTCGACCATATGCATTGTTGAACATGATGAGCCTGTGTGCCAAGCACAGTGCTAGGATTTAGGAAGCATTAGAAACGTGCTCTCTGTTCTACTGGGGATCATAATCTAGTTGGGAGGCTGAGGTAAGTATTGTGTCCCCTAGTCTTACCAGACTGACTTTAAAAATATTAACTCTAGTAATTCCAGATGAGCCTTGTTCAAAGTGTTCATCCTAATAATTAAATTAAAGGACTTTGCACCTTTTTTCAAGAAAATCCGTGCTGCCTGAAACTCTAAGGGTTACCGTGTCTGAGTCTCATTTCCATGCAGTTCTTCTCCCCAACACACCTGCCAACTCTGCCCCTCCGGCTCAACACCTGCATACACCCTCATTCAGATTCCATTCACTGTGAACGGAATACCTGTCATTGGAGGTTTCGTGTAAATTGGGTTTTTTCCGAAATTCTTCCAAAACGTTTCCCTTTCCTTCAACCTGGCACTCCTAAATGAGGAGAGGGAAAGGATCACTTTGGAAAAGCTGTTATCTTACAGACCCTGCTGTTACTGGCAGAAGAACTGGGGTCAAAGAGCAACGTTCACTCAAGATTTAACTGATAAATCATTAGTAAACCTGTGTGCAAATAAAAACCCCTATAATTATTAACATGACAACAGAATTTCCATGTTTCCTCATTTCTCAATTATCTTTTCAAGAAGAAATTCCAATATTTTCCTAACTGATGAAATATATTCTGTATCTTAAAAGTAATTCACTATGTGGGAACTATAGATGGCAAGTTCCTTGACTGATATCCTGACACTCCTATTTACCAGTCATGGGGAAGTTCCTCATCTTCTCTGGTCTTATATAAAATGAAGAAAATTACACCTGATCTGCTTAAAGAGAGAACGAAAAGAACCAGAGCAAATGTCTCTTAGCATCCTTTATAATTCAACAATAATTTCTATATAATATTCATTTTACCTCTGCACCTAGAAGATCTTAGAGTGTTATTTTAAATGCCTCCTGCGTCTGAAAACGTAGTCATGTCCAACTCTTTGTGACCCCAAGGACTGTAGCCCACCAGGCACCTCTGCCCATGGGCTTCCCCAGACAAGAATACTGGAGTAGGATTGAATACCCAGGGATCCAACCCGGGTCTCCTGCTTTACAGGCAGAGTCTTTCCTGTCTGAGCCACTCCTAGATCTGAAGGGAACCTAATATTTCCTCCTCATCCTAGTTTTCAGATTCAGTGATATCACTGTAGCTATAAAACTCGAAAGACCCAACATTTTGGAAAAGAGTTTTGTGTCATATTAATTTAGTTAAATGACAAGTTGATGT